CTCAATGCGAAAAAAAAGTGCCTCTATGTTTCCGTTGCAGCTGTATACAAGATAAAAAATCTAAACTCCCCACAAGTGCAATGTACAATTACCGTGTTTTCAACGCCTTTACTCTCAAGCCCTTCCTGTTTTGAAGACTGTTTGTTTGTGCTTTTGCCAGTCATATTTTATAGTGCTCATTAAAAGATGGTCCAAATACTTCTGAATGATCGTCGTGGATACTAACAATCAACAACTTCATTATCTGTCGACTTCCTCATTGTTAAAATACGCCTGTTTAATCTTTCACATCCTTACTGTCATATAATTTGATTTATCAATACATGCACATATATTTATTGAACAGTTTAAGATGTACATCTTCTATAATAAGTTTGTTGCCTAAATGAAATATCTAGTCATGTTTTAATTTTTGCCTTGTGTTAACTCAGATTCTATAAGACAATTTCACGATCACTGGGTCATCTGACTTCGATAGAAAAGCACAGGAGTTGAACTAAGGTCTCGTCACGTCCTTAGAGGTCTTGTCAACTACGTAGTTTAAACGGCGTTGTTATATCTAGGTCTTCATACAAATCAATGACTGCATTTTCTCCTACTTTTCTTTTTACTCGGATATTTTGACTTGACAATGGTCTTGTTCCAGTTTACATTTCTTGGTGGCCCGGCATGGCCAGGTGGTTAAGGCACTCGACTCGCAATCTGAGGGTCGCGGGTACGAATCCCTGTCACACCAAACATGCTCGCCCTTTCAGCTGTGGGGGCGTTATAATGTGACGGTCAATCCCACTATTCGTTGGTAAAAGAGTAGCCCAAGAGTTGGCGGTGGGTGGTGATGACTAGCTGCCTTCCCTCTAGTCTTACACTGCTAAATTAGGGACGGCTAGCGCAGATAGCCCTCGTGTAGCTTTGCGCGAAATTCAAAAACAAACAAAAACAAACACTTCTTGGTAAAACTTTGAACGTAAATATTGCTTCTACTGGAACATTATTTCCCGGCTATACAATAAAGTATTATCATTTCTTCGAAAATAATATGGATCTTTATCCAGAATGCAAAACTATAATATCGTATTTTCAACTCAACGGCATCTTATGCGACACATCAAATAATATACCATGACAGAGATCACAAAGTTCATGAATAGACATCCCTAATTTAGAAATGCCGACGGCAGCTAGTCAGCAGTACCAGCCGCCTCATGATGGCTATCGTGGTTATGACATTCCTTCGGTTGAAAGTACAAAAGGTGTTTAGTGACATATTGCGGCTCGAACTTAGGATCTCGAAATCCACAACCAGTATGCTAATTACTAAACTACGTTCGACCCGGTGATTGTTTAGGTCTTATTGTATGTTATTTTACTGATAGAATGTAACAACGATAACTGTTCAAACGCTATCAGAATAAGGAAAGAGAAGAACGAAAACATGCTCAGAAATTAGAATAACTGAAGGATTCTAAAATAAGACTGTCATTTTTGGCGTTTGATTTTAATAAGATAATGCCATTTTATGAGTAGATTATTTTAGAAATTATCATTTCAGATTACGACACGTGTTTTTTTCTCATTAAAATTTCTAGTTGAAAATGATGGTTCGTGCTTCAATCGACTAACGAATTCATGGAAGAGATATATGACACTAATAAAGCCTTACAGTTGTAATCTGAAACATGCGTGTTACAGCGTGGTCCATTACTGTGATTGCGTACATTAAGAAAACAACTGCATCAATCAGAAGTACACGAAAAACCACAATGTACATAGGGGGGGGGTGAAGATGTTGGACCATATTTAGGTATTTTGTCTCTGACTAACCATATTGAATCTTCTTACACACTGCTGAAGCGTAACTATCATAGAGAAGCTGCATACTTGGAGTTTATGCAATACATCGCTGTTAAAAGATATTTTATTAGTTTTGATCATTTAGTACGACAGTATAACACATCAAAAATGTTACAAAATGATACTTCTTTTTTTATCTGCAAAATACATAGAACCTTTTGTTAGGCTTGACAACTTAAGATAAATATGTATAAAACTTAAGTTTCAAAACTGATATTTCGAATTTTAAATATTTTGAGACACCTAAAAACATAAAGTCAATATATTCATAAGTCAAAATGTGAGACGCACAATCCTTAAAATTGGTATAGAGTTTTTCAAGAAACTGGATATCAATTTACACAGCCTCATGGTAACACTGTTTCTTAATTTACACAGCCTCATAGTAACATTGTTTCTTAATTTACACAGCCTCATAGTAACATTGTTTCTTAATTTACACAGCCTCATAGTAACATTGTTTCTTAATTAACACAACCTCAGGGTAAAATGTGTTCCTAGAATCGTGTAATCCTCGAACACATTAAAATACTCAGAACTTTGACCATCAACAATCACACCAAATGACACGAATAATGAAGTAAGTGTAAACAAAAATACAACGTGCTACTCTGTGCTTAAGTTTATGTGATTCTAATAAGTTCTCGTTCTATTTTTCCAATTTGCCACACAATGATCATGCAGAATTTTAAACAGATAATTTTCACCACAGTAGTTTGGCCACTAAAGTGAAGTTAAGTTAACAGTTTCGTTATTCTAGAGTACACATATTGGCATAACATATTTCAATGATTATAAATAATCATTTCTCTAAAATGCCTCTCCTCTACCGATAACAAATAAACTAATCTAAATCATCATCATGCCTTTCCTCGTACTTTAGTTTTTAAGATTTACATATATTTAGTTTACAAATCCTATATATCTATCAATATCAACAACACAAAATACACTTCCATACCTTTAGTTAGCACCCATATGAAATTTTCAATTATTGTTTTCGTTTGTTCTTGCATTTTTCATGACATGGTTACTTTGGTAGAGATAATTAATCATATTACAAAAAAAAGTCAGTTACAAGTTGTAACCTGAAGGTCAAAACTACAGGCTGAACTTCAAAGGTGCACTTTTTTGTACCTTTTAAAAACTCATTAGAAAACTAACAAATATGATGCTATTTTTTTATCCCACAACGAATGTGATATTAACCTAATAGACTCTCTAAGATTAAATATCTTGTTGTACGGCTGTAGATGTTTTCAGGTTTTCGCCCATTTTGACATTTCGTCTCTAAGCATGTTTAACTAACAACCACGACAACTATTCTTCTTACTTTGTGCTGTCAACCCTGATGAAAACTGACGATCAGTTACAGCCATTTTGGTGTTCTGTTCGCCACAAAAGACATTGTCTGAACTAGGAAATAATAAATGGCTACCTGAGAAGCATGAAAAATAGAGTTACCACCATAAGTATTTAAGTACAAAGAGTTACCACCATAAGTATTTAAGTACAAAGAGTTATCACCATGAGTACTTAAGCGCATGAGTTGCTAGAACATGGATAGTGATTACCAAACCCTTAAGTTTCGACTTTTTACAATATTGAATAAAAAAGGATCAAGAACCAGTGCCACAAAATTAGCACGAAAAATTTACTCCCAGTAAAGAAGATTTTTTGTATTCCAAAATATGATGCTTCTGTCGAACATCTGCATTCTATCATTTACACTGTTTCTTCGCTATAACAAATTTCTTCTGATTGAATGCCTGTGATATTTTACTTTACTGAAAAATGAGCAGATTCAACTGACAGAGAAATAATTGTGTGTATGGTAGCATCAGTTATATTAATACAGCTTTAATTATATTCTATTACTTGATGAATACTTTGGATGTTTGTTGAAATTATTAATATCGTTAATTTGAGAAGAATAGACTGTATATACGAATTTAGTATTTCATATTGCTATTTTTTTATCTATCTTTATACTAACTATTCTATAACCCAAGCGCTTTCGAAAGGTCCACCTTTCGTAAGACGCTCGGTAATAGGGTTTTTATTTCTATTTCTTATTCAAGACTTATTGTAACTAACAATCATGCTTTTCTAACATACATGAATGTAC